CTCTCCCAGTGACGTGCCAAAACCTTTCCCATCCATTCTTTTTTTTTTTTGAGGAAGCTTAGCCCTGAGCTAACATCTGCTGCCAATCCTCCTCTTTTTGCTGAGGAAGACTGGCCCTGAGCTAACATCCTCTATTTTATATGTGGGACACCTACCACACCATGGCTTACCAAGTAGTGCCATGTCCACACCCAGGATCTGAACTGGTAAACCCCAGGCTGCCGAAGGAACGTGAGAACTTAACCACTGTGCCACTGGGCTGACCCCTCCCTTCCATTCTTTGATTTAATCCTCACAACCCTGAGGCAAGTACCTTCCCTTTTTACAGACAGGGTAAAATAATTTGCCTAAAAGGTCACACAGTTATTAGGTGGCAAGGAGAAGATTCAAAAACCTGGGTCACATTATACAGGTCAAGCTCTTAACCACTAATTTTGAAGTAGGACAGGACTGAGCTCAAATCCAGATTCTATTATTAGTAGTGTGAACTTGGATAAGCAATAAGTTGTCATCTTCATTTTTTCCATCTTCAAAATGGGTAGGTTACTATCCTACCACATTATACTGTCAAAAATAAATAACAGATAAAGCTCTTGGTCTTCCGTTTGGTACAAAGAAACAATAAGAACATCAAGAACAATATGATCTCACAAAAGTAACTAAAATTTATAAATACCAAAGAAATTTAAGTCATGTACCACTGAATCTTAGTAGAAAGTTTTTCCATGTTTCCTTTTGAGTCTGTTCACAAAACATTCCCATATTCGTATTGTAACATATAAGTATAAATTAGAGCTTGAAGAATTATAAGATTTTAGTAAAATATGACATAATATTAAATAAAATTTGGGCCAACCACAATAGATCAAGCTCCTGAGCATGAAGGTTACTACTTGGCTCCATTTAAAGTTGCCTCAGGCAAACTCGCCCTCTTTTGCAGCTAAATCATCCCTTAAAACCATCAACTTAAAAGCAAAAGCAGGAAAGAAACTTCATGCTGTTTGCCTTGAAAATTAGTTTTACTTTTGATTCTACACTCAAGTCCTAATTACTTTAAATAAACTGTTCCAAGGCTTCTCTGTTCCCTGAAAAATAAATTTTTTATCTAACAAGGAAGCCACCGAAACTGGGTTAAAATATATAGCATTGTTCTTAATAAGTAACTTGGCTGAAATAAAAATATATCTGCATATTTATAATAATTAAAGGACATATAAAAATAAATTTGACTTCTGAAAGAAGCAATCTCAGTAATTTAAAAAGCCACTTTATAAACCACCATATTAAATTGTGAACAGCTAATCTCCTCCATAATAATTTCCAAGATACATATGCTCTATTTCAACTCAAGTTTTAGCATAATGACATTTCCGGGTCTCAGGAATAATATGCTATACTACATTTAATAACTGGGTTAAAAAAAATAAGAGCTTCAACAATCACTCCATAAATTTAGTGACACCTAACAGCAGCAAGTGGTTTTGAGACCCCCAACAATAATCTGCACCAAAAGGCATACTTGAACATGCATACCTCAAGTCATCACTTGGTTCTTTTTTTTCTGGAAGTTCCACCTGCTTGAAGTCTGCTGACTGGTGCTGTTCAACAACATTGAGCTCCTGGCTTATCATGGGAACCTCTGAAGTACATGAGAGCTCCCCGTCATTGGAGACTCCAAAGAGGTCTGGGTCATCTTGAATTACATCAATTAAGAGGACATCATCTTCATAGGCTTTAAGAATATCTGGAAACCCCACTTTAATTTCTGAAAAGTTCTTAGTCATTTTTCTACCACTAACTTCAGAGGAAACTCGTCCGAATGTTTCTTGTTCCTTAGAGCAGAAGGCAGGATTTTTCTCTACACACCCAGGATCACAAGAAAAAGTACTATTTTCAATTCTGAGAGAAACAGCTTCCTTATTATCAACAATATTGCCTGGTTCAGAGATGTGGTTAGATGGTTTATTATTATTACCTTGCTTTAAAAAGCCTGGAGAAATATTCCAGGAATTCTTACGGCAGTAGAAGTCAGAACTAGCTTGCGCTGGAGTTACACTATTTTGTATGCTCAAAGATTGAGATCCTGACGTTGCTGTGGACACATTTTCTTTACTCCTATTCTGCCTTACCTCTGCTCCAGATAAACTGTCCAGAAGCTCTAGGGGACTATATGCTTCTCTCTCTGATGATCTGGCATTTCTTTCTTTTCTTTTCTCTGTTTTATTCTTAAGTAATGGAATTTTAAAATTAGTGAGCCGTCCTGTGTTCAATATTTTAACCAAGTCTGGAACCACACGTGTTTGCTTAGCAACACACGCTTTTCGATGAATAGTTTTGCCTGTAGAGTTATTTGTTTCCTGGCCGTCCTGGGAAGCCATTGTCAAATTAAGTTTTGCTAAATACCCTTTATCTTTTTTTTTACTTCCTGTTAAATTTTGAGTCACATTAGTTAACTGAGTATCTTCAGTAGTATTAGAAACTACCTCTGACCCACTCCTGCTCGGTTCCTCCGACTTCATCTTTTTATCATCACTGATTATAGGTTCCTTTATAAGCATTAAAGTAGGTTCTACTGCAGAGACTGAAGACAAACAATTTAAATTAGAATCCAATTTTTCTTCACTTGAAGATTCACTGTTTGTTTCTGTTATAGAACCTTCTAACAATAATTTGGAGTTAGTAAAATGAGTTTGATTTGTTTGGTGTTTAAGAAAATCATCTTGCCTCAAGCCTTCCTGAGACCCAGGAAGAAAGTAATTTGATTCTGGCAGGGAAGCCTTTTTCCAACACTGGGCAGATATTCTAGCACATGAATAACATGGCCAAGTTCTTTTACCAGTCATTGGTATTGTTCTGTGACAGCCTAACTCCGATTCTTCAGCTTCATTTCTCAAGTCTTCTTGTGAAGATTCCTTTTCAGTCGAATGGCAATCACTAGGTGATTTCACTACTGAGCTTTTCACGGACTTAAAATCCTCTTCTGGCTCCACGCTTTTACATCCTAGGGGCTCTGAAGCATTCTTTGTTTCTTCTTTCAGAAGTGGCTGGAGGGTTTTCTGAAACATAGCATTTACATGATGTTCAGGACTTGTTTTCTTTGCTACTGTTTCTGGAAAATGTGACGAATGATCCATTGGAGAGAGGGTATTAGGGTTTACTTTTCTCAAAACTTTCAAAGGATTTTTTTTAGCCTCCAAAGTCTCTGCTTCCTTACCCTCAGCACTCATTTGGTTTTCTTGTAACACCAACTCAGACTTGTTATACACATTACAGAAGTTCATCTCAATAATCACTTCATCTGATTTTTCAGACACCTTTATCCTTTTCCTGGGTTTTCTCCCAACATCGCTCTCCTCTACTGAGTATTTATTTTCTTCACTTTGAAGGCAGGAAAGCAAGCCATTATTTTTACTTTGGTATAAATCCGTTTCTTCAAGCAATAACTGATTTACTCCCATTAAATTTTCTTCAGTTTGTAAAAGCTGAGGAATACTATCTGTGTCACTCTTATCTGCAAGACTCCTAAGGTTTTCGTTCTTTAACTTCGAGGACTTTTCTGGTACGCACATACATCCACCATCAGGTTTATACTTGAGGTTATTTTCATCATTACAACCCTTGGAATGGGGGAAACAATTGCAATCATGTAATTTTAAAACGGAATTATTTTCTACTCCAGGTGACAAGCTGTTACAAGAATATTTCGAAGTATTCTTGTACAGTTCATCTTGGAATTCAACCTTAATATTTTGTGTAGCCTTATTTTCCGTTATTTCGGAAGGTGGGCTTTCTAAGCTTTTAATTCGAATTCTTCTTTTAATACCTTCTCCTAAACCTTCCTTACCCAAAGACTGCAAGAAAGCCATACTTTGAAATTCACTGCACTCCACTGTTTGGAAAGATTCCGAACTGGTTAATGATTCCTTTCTTACCAGGTCAATCCCTGGCTGTGGATCTTCACTTGAGGCTTCAGTAACTTTTCTTTTTTCCTTGGCTGATCAAAACAACAAAACATACCAGAAAAGATTTTATATTGAGGAAGAAAAAGCAGTATCACTTAAAATAAAAAATTGTGAAGCCATCCATTTTTATTTCCCTGAATAGCTGTATGGAAATATACATTTGTTTTAAAATGAAAGACCTCACTTCTATTAGGGAACTACATACAAACCTGTAAATTCTAAGGCAGCTGAACAACCTCTAGCAGCATCATCTCACACCAGCCAGAATGGACGACCAGGAGGAATTCCTTTTATAGTAATTCTAACCAAGGGCTCCTCACGGGGCAAACACCTTTTATGAGAATTCCTGTTTTTGCCCCTCTCCTGGTCAACCGCGTACAGAGTAAAGCCCACACAGCCAGATTTAGGTTGAACACTAGCGGTCAACACGGGTGGAGCAGGCTGAGGCGCAAGGGCTGGGAAGGGAGCCCGCCCCCCACCCGGGCGCTCTCTTACTGTGTCTTCCGGTCTGCAAGGGGAGCTTCGCCTCCTTCGCGGCTTCTAAGCCCGGCCCGTCGGACGAGAGCGAAGGGCCCATCCGGCCCCCCGGCCCCTCCACACGGCGCCTCACCGCGGCCCTCCCAGCCCCGGACGCCTCACCCGACGGGTCACTTTCCACTTCTTCTGGCCCGGACGCCCGGGCCACCATTCTCCTCTTTTGCCTGCTCTCCTCGCGCTCCCTGGCTTCAGGGCCGCAGCCTCCCGCCTCGCCAGGCCCTGGCCGCTGGCCTCGCTTCCTCAGGCCTCGCGCGTCGCCCTCACGCCCCGGGGCCGTCGCGGGGCCAGAGGGCGGGGACCGCTGCATCCGCCCCGAGCCCACCGCCCTGCCCGCCGGGGCCGCCACACCCGCTCGCAAGAGCCTAGTGGCCGCACGAAGGCTGCTCCCGCCGCCGGGAGCCCACCGCCCTCAGCCCCGCCCGGCGCCGCCCACCACCCAGGCCCGGGGCCGGAAGCGGAAGTGGGGCCCGCGCCGTCTAGCCCTGGAAGGCGCGGCAGGGCCCAACGGGCGGAAGGACCGCGAGCCTCTGCGGCTGGCGCCCTCTGGGGAGTCGCTGCGCCGGACTGGGCTGTGGTGGGAGCTCCCTGCGGGCCTCCGTCGTGTCTTTGCATACGCAGGAATCTCCCGGAACCCTTGAGGGCTGTCATGCCCACCTGCTGCCGCTCGTTCCTGGCTGCTGGCAAAGACCGCTGTAGGTCAGTGCCTTCTAACTCCACCCCAAAGCTCCTGGGACCCCTTTCCAAGTGCCTTCCGCATATGTTCACCTGGATATTGCATGCTCGCCTCAAACTCTGGATGTGCTGAACTGAGCTGCTCTCTCCTCACAGGCTTGCTTTTCTTGTCTTGGTGGTTGCGCCACCGTCTACCCAATTGTTTAAGCCAGAAACCTAGAAACCATCAGAGACACGCATCTTTCCACTTCATCTGCCGCAACCGCTGTCGTTAGGTTTGCTTCATTCTACTTTGTGTTTGTCAGCCACTCTCCCCTTTGCCATTACCTTGGCTCTGGCTCTCAGATTTTGACTGTCCTACTGCATCAGCCTCCTAAATCTTAGTCATGCTTTCATCCTTGCTTCCACCTGCTGCCAGGCCATGCCCCTCCAGTGAAAAGGGATCTTGGCACTTCCCACCTTGACTCTTCAGGAACTCCTTTGCTCAAAGATTAAAACCAACAGAAAGTCCAAACTGTTTGGTGTGGTGTTTGTAGCTCTTTTCTGATGTGGCCCCTGAACATTTAGTTTTGTCTCTTGCTGTCGCTGTAGGGGAAAAGTTGTGCTTCAATGGAAAACTATGTATAGGAGTCACGCTTCTGCATTATCTGGTTCTGATTCTATGGGAGCTGTTTTACAACAAATAAGTTGCAAATAAGTGGTAGCAGTGCAAAATAATGGTTTGTAGACACGCAAACTCTGTCCTATAGAAGTTCAGTTGACTTCTCGCTCCCGCTGTAGAAGCAGCCAGTTTTGCCTCCATTTGCACATTCATTTCAATATTCCTGATGTATAAATGTGCCTGTTCAAAGAACTGGTGGTTATAAAATCTGCCTGAAGACAGACATAAAATCTTTAACACATGTTCATTTTTACCTCTATGAGAGTCAAGATTTTATCTTTTTTTTTTTTTTTAACTATCTTTTAATACCGCACCTACCCTGCACTAAAACCACATTGGACTGCTACTAGAGTTCTCTAGATTTCATATGCTCTGTCATGCCTGTGCCTCTCTACATGCTAATCATGGAAATTCTTCCTTTGCTTGTCTGCTTGGTGAACTACATATTTCCCTTCAAGAATCAGTGCAAGGATCACCAGCTTCCCTGCTGCCTTTCTCCTTACACTTGGATGGGTCAGGTGTTCCTGTGTGTCTGCTCACACATTTCTTTCAGTTGTTTACTTGTGTGTCTCCCTAGGGAGACACAGATATCTTCTGTTAATCTTTGTGTGTTTAAAGAGGAACTTGGTGATTTTGAACACAATTTGTGTTATGCATTAAAGGATGGTAGGTGTGATGCATTGAGAGTGAATACTGTGGCAGTTTGGGTGAGCAGTTTAAGTGAAGCATCCTTAGGAGCATCTATAAAATAGAACTTAGGTAAAGGAGGTGTAAAGAATCTAGGAATGTTTCTTGTCTCTTTTTGCTTGTAAATACTCCCAGTAAAAGGGAAACCAGTTTAAGAATAGCAGAATTTAGAAAAAGTTATTTTAGGGATTTCAGACTCATTCCAAGTTTACTTTGTGCCTCAGTTTCCTCATCTGTAAAATAGAACAATAGTATCTCCAGAAGGAAACCAGAATATGTCATCCCAAAATATGCCTTTTGACATAAAAATTATTTTGAGCTGAAGGCAATTAAGAAGCAGCAAATGTGGGAAAAACTCTCACTACCTTCTCCCCCTTTTCTGCCTAGAGTCAGGAGATAAATTCTCCTTTATTGGAGAAGACTCTAGATTCTTGCCAGCCTAGAGATGGCACTAGAGGAATCTGCAAATAAACCGTACTCCGTTAGTTTACTCCCATATATTTTTCTTCCCACAGATCATCATGCTTGGAAGGCTAAAACTGCTTTCTTCCGTCCTGTCATTTCTACACAAATTTATTGTCCTTTGTTGAAGATGCCATGTAGGCCAGGGTTCTAAGCCATCATTTTGAGTTACTCTTCGCTGAGGTTTCTCTTGTGTGATGTGCACTGTGTGCATTAATAAACTGTTTTTCTCTTGTTAATCCATCTTTTTGTTAAAGATGCCCATCTGAGAACTTAAGATGGGTAGAGATAAAGTTTTGCTGCCCCTACATCCTCATAGCATTCTCATGAGAATTAAATGTGCTAATAGTTGTAAAGTACTTAAAACAATGCCTAGAAGATTGTAAATCCTAAGTAGATTTGTTAAATAAAACCCCAATATATATTGAAAGATAGACTCTATATAATTCTGATGTTTACTACCTTCAAAGTAAACATTGCTACTAAGATCTTAGTAAAATAAAGATAAAAATTCAGTCCAACTTCTTTGGTCTGAATCAAAACAGATGGTCTTCAAGTCGGCTACAGGCCCAGGAATTTAAAGACTTTTATGCCCCAAACAGTTAAACAATGCATAAAAGAGGACTGAGAAGAGCTTAGTAGCATAGGAAATTGCAAAATCAAGCACAATGAGTGTTCTGAATAAGAAAGTTATAATCTTTATTACAGATTTTAAATTCCTCATACCAAACTGCTTTCACAGAAAACTTAAGGAGATTACGTATCTTTATACAAGATTTTATTGATCTTCTGTTCTCTTCTGTGAAATGATTATCATAATCCTACTATTGTGCTTGGCAGTGTCTGGAAAGGGCAAGCACAGTTGTTTACCAGAAAAGACTCAATCCTCCCAGTGGCAGATCTCACACACTTGGGAGTCTAGAAGATGGAGCAGAATATTTATTTACCTGTACCTATTGGGTTGCATCTCGGTCCACACAGAGTTGGCCCTATGTGGGTGCCTGGGAGTTCCCTTCTCTACTAGTCTCCACACTTTTTCTTTTCTACCCCTTTCCTTTGCCCCTGGATCCTGGCTAACAATACTGCCCAGCCCTTGAAGTCAGCTTCAGGGTCACCCCTTCTCCAATGGCCCTTGTACATGGCAGGTTCTAGTTCTGTCCTGGAAAGATGACAACAGAGCCACATTCTCTACCTTCCACAACTACAAGTTGTAGATTATTGATGCACAGGATCAGCTACGTAATTTGTAGGGCTCAGTGCAAGATGAAAATGCAGGGCCCTTTTTTAAAAAATTAAGGATTTCAAGACAGAGACAGCAGAACATTAAACCAAGTACAAAGCCCTGTACAACTACACAGGTTGTTGCCCATGAAGCTGGCCCTACAGATCCGTGGTGTACTTCTGTAAGACTAACAAACCTCTTATTGTTAATATTTATCAGCTCTGATATCAAAACCTCTCTTCTTTTTTGTGCCAGTCCTTGGCCAGTTTGCATGCAGAGCAATTCCACACCCTTCCTCTGCCCTGCTCTGTATCACAGGGGTCAGCTCCTGCAGTCTGCATTTGCCATGCTCTTGGGTCATTTGACTTTGGGTGAGATTTGGCTAGTAGACGACACTGGTAGGAGAATGGAGAAGGGAGACTTTTCCAGATTTCTCTCTGCTCCAGGCTGCCTATTAGACAGCAGCTGATTCTTCTCTGGGACTCCATCTTTTGCTGGCCAGGCTCACTGTAGTGCAGTTTCAGCCAGGTGCATTGAGGTGCCATTGTCCTTCCAGCCTAGGGGTAGCAGTGGCCTTCTGCTGTTAATAACCCCTGGGCACCTCACCAAACCCTGTTTTTTCAGTTCTTCCATCCCATCTCCTGGATGACACTCCTCTGTTTAAAATACTTAAAGTAATTTCTTTTTTCCTGGTCAAAGACCTCCCGTGTAATTAAGGGTGCAGGTGGAAGGAACTAAGGGAATGAAAGGACAGACTTCTGTTCTACCACATTGTCAAGAAATATTCTTTCACCATCTTGGAAGGGATACCTAAATAAAGCAAGAGTAAATCTGATGTTCTCCCAAGACATGGTGACTTTTCTTTCTTCCAAGGATTTCCAATATTTTCTCCAGGGTCAGCTTCTCATTCAATTTTAGATTGTAAATCTTCTGCCCAGGAATATCATTGAATCTGACGTTCAGCAAAGAATAACATATTGATACCCTTTAAATGTTAAAAATCAATGATCCTATTTTACCTCTGGAAAGAAAAATCAAAAGGTACCAAAATCGATCGCTGGCCCCAAATACTTGAGTGCAGATTTTCAAGTCCAGGCTTGAGACTCTTAATTAACTTTCTCTCCACTAGAGGGCCCCAAATCCAGAGCAGCCAAGGATGATGCACCACTCTTTCCTCTGGCTCCAGGAACTCCATGCTCTTAAATCATAAGAGCCTTTGATTGTGTCACTGAGTCAGAAGAACTCAATTACTCAGTGTAATAAGTCCAAAATGGAACACAATAGGAATTTTTGAGCAGAAGAGGAACTTAGAAATCATCTACTCTAATTTCTTCGTTTTACTGAGAGGCATGAGAAGCTAAGGAATTTAAAAGTGCTGTGAATCAATCATTGCCTGTGTTTCCTCTGTTTGCTGCCTAATCGCCTGCATTTCCAAGTGACCATTTTGAGAGAGAGATTGAAACAACACAAATTTATTCTGCTTCTTCTTCACGCAGCAGCACGTCTAAGAATGCCTGTGGTGCATATGTCCACCCTTTAGCATCTCTGTAAGGGGTCTTGTATTTATGCCTCTCAAATTTTCCAGTTGAATTAGGGCTGTCATTGCAGTCTATCATTTTGTTTGTTTGTGGAAGAGGGAATCTCTGTTTTGCTATCCAATATGGGATAACCTCAGAGAGGAGGGGGCTGTGCCAGTGGCTGCTATGTTAAAATCTAGCTTATCAATGGATAGAGTGGATGGTTGCCTAAATGGTTTGATTTGAAGTGTAACAGGAAAAATTTCCTTCTATTTAGTCTCTTTCCCACTCAAGAGAACATTCTATTAAGTTTTTATATACACAGATGACTTCCAAATTTATATCTCCAGCCCCATGTCCTGCTCTGTATCCACTTGTCCATACCTCTGATCCAAGTGACCAGGATAAATGTTCCTTGCAGGCTTTGACTCCCTTAGCAGAGAGCATTCACCGAGAGTTTTCCCTTTCTGCTCCA